CCTGCCTGAGCCCAGAGCCCCCGGAGCCCGCTCTGTGCCTTCCCAGCTGCCAGAGGAGCCGTGCCCTCCAGCCTGGGCACCTCCCTGCAGGCAGAGCCTCTCTGAAAGCGCGGACCTGCGCTCGGCAGGAGGCCGGCCGCGGGGAGCAGGCTTCTCTTGGAGGGCCCAGCATCCCCTGGTCCTGGGCCCGGGGTGACCCTGCCTCTGAGGCCACAGACTTTGGGGTCCAGTGGGGACACCTGGTGCAAGACCAGGGCCCATCAGGCAGGGCCCTGAAGAGCAGGGATGCAGCCTGGAGGCTCCCTCACAGGTGTGGCCTCCTGAGCACCTGGGCCTGACCTGTCCTCCAAGGCCCTCAGGACTGACCCAGCCCTGGCTGGGCGGCTGGCTGTGCAGCACCTGGGATCTGGCCCAGGGCCGACCCTCACACAGCCGGCTGCGTAGCGCCGTTCCCACCACAGCCGGCCTTTCTCTTCTCACTTGGCCAACATCTTCCTCCAGCAAGTGCTCAGCTGTCAGCTGGCCCCCTTGTTGGCGGAGACATTTCCCAGGACACTAGTGGTCACCGTGGCCACCACAGCCCACGGGGGACCACTGCTGGGTATGTGATGACTGAGTGGGTGGGTGGAAACCTAGTGGACATCCAGGCTGGCCCTCAGCTTCCGAACGCCAGACCTCAGCTAGCCCTCACGACCTCGCCAGAAGGGGCACTTCATTTCTTTTTTTAAAATATATATTTTATTGATTTCAGAGAGGAAAGGAGAGGGAGAGAGAGAGAGAAACATCAGTGAGAGAGAATCATTGATCTGCTGCCTCCTGCTCACCGCCTACTGGGGATTGAGCCTGCAACCCAGGCATGTGCCCTTGACCAGAATTGAACAGGGGCCCTTCAGTCCGCAGGCTGACGCTCTATCCACTGAGCCAAACTGGCCAGGGCCATTTCCCCAGTTTTCAGATAAGGACACGGGCTTGAGGCAGTGAAGGGTTTCGCTAGGATCGCAGAGGTGGGTGGCAGGTGGCAGACTCAGGACAGCACCAGAGCTGCCCACCCTGCCCTGTGGCCCCAGTGAGTCCCGTCCCTCCCGGTGGGGCTGTGGTGCCACAGTTGAGAAGGGCCCCTGCATCCCCGTCGCTGCTGGCTCTGCCCGAGGGCGGTGCCCCTCCTGGGCCTCTCCGGGAAGGCGCCCGCCTGGCGCGGGCCATGTGTTTCCAGGCAGAGTCGGGGTGCAGCTCAGGACCGGGGGTGCCCCTCCAGGTTCACACGTGCAGCAACATGCCCTGGGCACCTCCTGGTGCCCGGCACCGCTTCTGTGCAGGGGACACAGCGGCGAGGGGACAGTCCAGCTCAGGGGAGCATGGGGAGCAGAGTGCAGGAGAGCAGGCAGCAGAACAGGGCGAGGGCCCGCTGGTTCCCGGCTTGTCTGACAGGCGGGTGCTTGGTTACATGGAGGAGGGAGGGGGACGGTGAATTTGAGCTCCAGAGGGAGGCAGGGCCCAACAGGAGGGGCCAGGCTGCACCGGGGACTGCACCTCCCTCCTTCACTGAAGCCGGTGGGGAAGGGACAGGGCCGGTGGGGAAGGTGGCAGGCCACGGGGCCTCGGAGCCTGGCGGCCGGAGGCTGGCCCTGGCCACAGGCCAGAGAGGAGGCGCCTGTGGGAAGCCCTGTCCAGACCTCAGTGCTCCTGAGCCCGTGGGGCGTGCTCCTGCCTGGCGGCCACCCTCACAGCTTTAGGCCATCTGCTCCCTGTGCAGGGTCCACTGCCCTCCCCTGCACCCAGCAGCCTCCTGGCCTGCAGGGGTCTTGCTCCCAACAGTGCATTCCAGTTGCAGGGGCTGGGGTGTGGCAGGGAAGGGAGGCAGGGGGAGTGGAGGTGGGGGCCATGGAGCGCCCTGAACTCCCTTCCCGGGCCAGGTACAAGGACAGAAAGGCTGTGTCCGGGCGCCACAGTCCACATGCCCTGGTGCTCAAGGAGGTGACCGAGGCCAGCGCAGGCGTCTACACCCTCGCCCTGTGGAACTCCATGGCCGGCCTGAAGCGCAACATCAGCCTGGAGCTGGTGGTGAACGGTAGGGGCAGGTGGGAGGGGAGGGGATGGGAAGGTGGGCGGGTGTGGCCAGGGGACCGGCTGACCAGCCGCCTGCCTGCGCCCCTAGTGCCTCCCAACATCCACGAGAAGGAGGCCTCCTCCCCCAGCATCTACTCCCGCCACAGTCGCCAGGCGCTCACCTGCACGGCCTACGGCGTGCCCCCTCCTCTCAGCGTCCAGTGGTACTGGCGGCCGTGGACACCCTGCAAGACCTTCGCCCAGCGCAGCCTGTGAGTGTGGCTCCAGCCCTGTGCTCACCCTCAGCCCTGACCCCCACTCACTGCCTGCACCCCTCCCGAGAGCCCTGCTCTAAACGCAAACCCTGTCACCATGCACCGCAGCCAACCCCTGGCATCATCCCATCTGAGCAAGGCTCAGATGCTCCTGCAGCCCTTGGGCCCACCCACCTGCCTGGAGAGCAAAGCCCCCAGAGCCGTATCATCAGAGAGACCCCAGGGCTGTGCCTGTGGCGTCCAGGGGGACACTTCTGTCTGGCGGGCAGAGCTGGGCCGCTTTCAGGAGACTTGTGCCGAGCCCCGTGGCACGCCAGCATGCCCTCACTCCTGAGCTCCTCTGTGCAGCGCTTACAGTCCCCCTAAGAGGAGGAGCGGGATCTGAGAAGGGATGTGGCTTTGCCAAGGCCACAGCTGTAAGCAGCGAGCCTGCCCCTCTGCTGGCCATGCCCGCTTACAATGACTTGGGCGCCAACAGGGCAGACAGCTGGGGAGAACTCTCGGGCAGAGACAACTTGCCCAAGCAGGGAACCAGGGGGGAGGGTGCAGAGGTGGCAGAGGTCTGGAAGGCACTAGAGCCAGGGAAGGGTGCTGAGCAGGGGTGTCAGGTCAGATTGGCCGTTTAGCAAGAGAGCCTTGTGAGGTGAGAGGGTCCAGGCTGGGGAGGGACAGGCGCTGGGGGCCAAGGAGGAGACAGGGCAGCAGCCCCCGTGAGCTCAGCGGGTCAGTGTGGGAGGCTCAAGGGGTGGCCTTTGGGCCTGAGCCACCCACAATGTCCAAGGCTCATAGATTCTTCTAGAACACAGGCCGAGGGTCACTGCTGGCACCTCCAGATTTGCTTCCCTCTGATGCTTCACCATTTTGTTCTGTACCGACTGACAGGGCCCCAGGGCCACCTGCTCTGCCAGGGCAGACAAGAGCCTCCCTTGGGGCCCAGGTCCTAGTGGGAGACCAGTCCCACCTGGCCCCAGGAGGGGCTGCGGCTCTGAAAGAGGGGGTGAGGGGGGTGCCTGGAGCACACGTGCTGACTGCTGCCCTTGGGGATCGGGTGGGCTTTGAGGAGGGGTGCATGCGAGTGGGGGCGGTGGGCACAGAATGCTGGAGGGCGAGCACAGAGCCGCCGAAGGCTGTGTCTGGCAGTCCCCACAGGGCCCTGAACATAGCGAGTGGGAGACAGCCCTGGCTGGCGTGCTCAGTGGATAGAGCGTCGGCCTGCAGACTGAAGGGTCCCAAGTTCGATTCCGGTCAAGGGCACTAGCCTGGTTGTGAGCTCGATCCCCAGGGGCAGGCGTGCAGGACAGGCAATCAGTGATTCTCATCATTGATGTTTCTATCTCTCTCTCCCTCTCCCTTCCTCTGTGAAATCAATAAAAATAAAAGAGTGGGAGACAGTGTTCCAGCAGCAAACGCTCCTGCCCTCTTGCTCACCCCAGCCAAAGGCCAGCCTCACCCACGCAGTGTAGAAGGTGACCCTGAATATGACAGAGGCTCAATCTTACCCCCTTGGGGACCCTCCCCGCCCAGACCTCTAACTGGCCCTTGTCAACCCTCGTCCCCAGCAGCCGGCGGCAGCAGCGGGACCGCATGCCACAGTGCCGGGACTGGAGGGAGGTGACCACGCAGGACGCTGTGAACCCCATCGAGAGCCTGGACACCTGGACGGAGTGTGTGGAGGGGAGGAATAAGGTAGGGGCCAGCCGCGCCACTGACTGGCCGAGAGGAGGAGGGAGGGGGGCCCTCTCTGGCCTCTGGGTGCCCACCAGGCCTGCAGGGCTCTGGAGGCAGCGGCTGAGGGGTGACCTCTCTGCAGTGTCTGGGCCTCAGCTCCCTTGCCTGCATGTGGGGGGCGGGGAAAGGACCTCCGGCCACTTCCCGAACGAGAATGATAAGATTCAGGCTGCCCGGCCAGGCCATGGGTCCAGCTGCCCACTGGCTCCAGGCTGGGGGCTGGCCTGGTCCCACCAAAGGCGGCTGAGCCACTGGCCAGCCTGGGGGCAATGCTGAGAAGCGGCCAGGCAGGGGAGGGGACTGAACAAAGGCACCCACTTCCTACGGTCACTTCCTGTTTTCCTACACACCTCCAGAGCCTCTTCCTGTTCCAGGCCTGGCCAGGAAGTGCCCAGCTTAAAGTAGGGGGGGTCTTTGGATGGTAGGCAGGGCTTGTGGCCTACCCTGCCTCCCAGCTTCCTATTCCCCAAGGCCAGCACCCTTCTGGGTGTCTAGGATCAGCCCCTCCCCTTGCCACTACCCCAGGGCGCGGGGAGAGGTGTGTGGGCAGCCCTGGGCAACGGTGCACTTGTCACGAGGATCTCACACCATGACCTGCTGCTCATCTTAGGCCACAGCCTGACCCTTGATGTGACCCGAGTCTGAATCCTGGCCCTGGCCTGGCCCTGGCCTGGCAGCACTAGGCCCCTGTCCCCTCCTGAAATGGCACATCCACCGCCCTGCCTATGCCGCCCTCTGACCCCAGCCACTGCTGATGCCAGCTTCCACAGCGCGGTCCCCTGACTTTCCTGAGGAGCCCCCCACTCTGCTGCCTGAAGGCCTTACTTTCACTCCCGTGCCTCCCTTCCCTGGTCTTGTCTCTGAACTCTGCCACCTCAGCTCAGAGCCTCAGTTCCCCCCATTACTCTGGTGGGCACAGTGGCCTCCTTGCAGAAGGGAAGGTCGGGTGGGGAACTCAGGCAGGAAACAGATCCTCTGCCTGTGCTTTTCCCAGACGGTGAGCAAGCTGGTGATCCAGGACGCCAACGTGTCTGCCATGTACAAATGCATGGTCTTCAACAAGGTGGGCCAGGACGAGCGGCTCATCTACTTCTATGTGACCAGTGAGTGACCTGGGTGGGCCTGGTGGTCAGGGACCAGGTGGGCAGGAGAGGAGAACAAGCTCGGAAAGGAAGAGGGGCCAGGTTGGGGTCCCCTGAGGTCCTGGTGGAGCACCCTGGGGAGCTATCCAGGGCCCCAGGGCCCTGGGTCTGGGCAACAGGGCTAGATTTGGAGGACCATGCTGGTCTGCTGGACGGAGTAGCACCCTCTGCCCTCAGCCCCGGAGGCAACCCGACCAGGGGGCTGTCCTGCTCCCCGAAGCCCCACCTAACTGCCTCCCTCCAACCCCCTTCCCAAGCCCTGGATCTGAAGAGGTGGCTCAGGGGTGTTTCTCTCTGGGGAAAAGCTCCATAGCTCCCTCGGATTCTCAAACGTGTCAGTGACCTCAGGAAAGCTGAGGACCCGTGAAAGGAAGTCCCTGGGCCCAGGGGGGACCTGGGAGAGAGATGGAGTCAGAGAGAACACTTTGGGTGGCGGAGCCCTCAGGAGCCTGACGAGTGGCCAGAAGCAGTCGGAGCAAGAAAGCTACTGCTGACAGAGGTGGGGTGTGGTCAACAGCGAGGCAGGATGGGACTCCGGTCCCCACTGAGTCTGGGGACAAAGAACTCACTGATGATGGGGCTACGGGAGAGGGGGGGCAGCAGCCGGGTTGGGGCATGACCAGGAGAGAGCTGGAAGGAGGCAGGAGAGCCCGTGGGGCTGACTTCTGTGGATTGGCCCCAGTGGTCAGAGGTCAGTGAGGGGGAGTGAAGGGGTGAAGAAGACTCCGGGGGTGTCCCTGGCCCAGACCTACCTGATGCATAACGTTGGCTGAGAGCTGGGTGAGTCCAGCGGCCAGTGGGCAAGGAAGAGCAAGCACCTGGCCGGTGAGTCAGTGTCACTGTGCAATGTCACAGCGGCTCTTGCTTCCGCTGCAGCCATCCCCGACGGCTTCAGCATTGAGTCCGAGCCCTCGGAGGAGCCCCTGGAGGGCCAGGCCGTGCGCCTGAGCTGCCAGGCTGACAACTACACTTACGAGCATCTGCGCTGGTACCGCCTCAACCTGTCCACTCTGCACGATGCCCACGGGAACCCGCTGCTGCTCGACTGCAAGAACGTGCACCTGTTCGCCACGCCGCTGGCCGCCACCTTGGAAGAGGCAGCGCCGGGGGCTCGCCACGCCACGCTCAGCCTGACCATCCCCCACGTGACACCTGAGCACGAGGGCGACTACGTGTGCGAGGTGCAGGACCGGCACAGCCAGGACAAGCACTGCCACAAGAAGTACCTGTCAGTGCAAGGTGAGTCTGCGGGCGTGCCCCCTCCCCACCTGCTCTCACACCTGCCCCTCCTCCCAGCTTCCCCGCCACCCTCTCCTCTCTGGAGAGCCCCTTCCCCGTGCCCTGGGCTCCTGCCCTCCACTCTGCCCCTTCCTGACTCCTGCCCGCAGCCCTGGAAGCCCCCCGGCTTACGCAGAACTTGACCGACCTCCTGGTGAACGTGAGCGACTCCCTGGAGATGCGGTGTCCCGTGGCCGGGACGCACGTGCCCAGCATCATGTGGTACAAGGACGAGCGGCCGCTGGAGGAAAAGTCCGGTAGGGAAGGGCCCGGGCGCAGAGCGGCTGGGGAGGCCCGGGAGGCCCAGGCCCCGGGGCCGTCTAGACCCGAACCTGCCCCCGCCTCCTGCAGGGATCGATCTGGCCGACTCGAACCAGAAGCTGAGCATCCAGCGCGTGCGCGAGGAGGACGCTGGCCGCTACCTGTGCAGCGTGTGCAACGCCAAGGGCTGCGTCAACTCCTCGGCCAGCGTGGCCGTGGAAGGGTTTTTTTTTGTTCTGCCCACGCAGGCTCCGAGGACCGAGGCAGCATGGAGATCGTGATCCTTGTTGGCACTGGGGTCATCGCCGTCTTCTTCTGGGTCCTCCTCCTCATCATTTTCTGTAACATGAGGAGGGTGAGCGCCCCTCTCCCAGCTCCCGTGGGGTTCTCTCCACCTGGCCAGCCCCAACCATAAGGAGTAGGGTCCCTGTCCAGCTCCCCCGGGAGCCTCGCCTCCCTGGAAATCTCCCCGACCCCTCCCAGCGGTCCTCTCCTTAGCGGAGCCTCGAGGGAGACCCCGTACGTCTGGGCAGTTTTCCCGAGTCACATGCGCCCTAACCAGCGGATCTGATTACCTTTTATACCCAAAGTAGTTCTTAATAGTAAATTTCTATCTACATGGAACTCAATCAAAGTCAAGATTGAATAACCAGATTTCCTCCACCCCAATACTATATAATCATTTTTTTGCTGAGACTAAAGTTCTATAAGTATACTTTAAATCATAAAAAAATAGTGTATGATTGGTGTGCCCTGTGTAGAATATAGTTCATTGGCATTTCCTATTTTTGTAATTTCCTTAGTTAAGTACTTTTTAGCTAATGTTTTATAGTTTTGAGCATATTCAGTACCTCATATGAAATTTGACTTCTTAGAGAAATATACTGAGTGAAGTTTCTGGGGGCCCGGGGGGGGGGAGAATAATTTCTCATCCTTTGTAAGGAAGAACTCTATTTCATAGGTTTTTAGGAAAAAGTTACCCCAGATTTCATGCTGATGTTATATTTTTTAAAATCAATGTTTTAAACTAAATTTTTATTGCCCTCCGCACGGCTGCCCAGCGGCCGTCCCCTCCCCCGCACCTTCGCCAGCTCACCTGGAACCCGGCTGCCCCACAGGGAGAGTCCTGGGCCACGGCGCCTTCGGGAAGGTGGTGGAAGCCTCGGCGTTCGGGATCCACAAGGGCAGCAGCTGTGACACGGTGGCCGTGAAGATGCTGAAAGGTGTGGGGTCGGCGGTGACGAGCAGCGGCTCTGGGCGGGCGGGTGGAGGTGGCGCAGGAAGACACAGGCTCAGAGCCAGGGTCCCGCACAAAGTTC